AATCCTGAAACTCCCGTGCCAACTGCTGCACCTCAATAATCGGTGAAAACTTAGCCCTAAACCTAGCTGAGAAATCGCTTCATGTCATCGCGTCCAACGCGACATCATCACCAATAACATGACCAATCTCCTCCGACCAATCCCACGCTCTGTCCTTCAGTAGATAGGAGGCAAGTCTGACCTTGTCCCCCTCTGGACATCGGCTCGTACGGAAAGCGTTGGCAACATCAGCCAACCATCTGTTGCTAGCAATGGGGTCCCTAGCCCCATGATAATCTGGTGCCCCGCAAGCCCTGAACTCTCGGAATGTCAAAGTACGCGCTCCCATCAAAGCCATCATCTTGGTACGGAAGGCTCCCAGCCTCTCATCCAAAATCTCCAGTATACCCTCCTGGACCATGCCAATGATCACAAGAGTCTGGTCTAGCATGTTGCGCGTAACCTTTGCGGATATAAACTCTCTCATACGCTCCTCGAGCTGCTCGGTCCCTAAACCTGAGCCTGATCCCTCTCCGGCGCCTGATCCGCCCAATGGCCTCTCTCGTAATGTCACCATGCTGAAAACATAACACAATAACTATCAGAATACTTATCACTATTGCGAGACCAAACATACGCACTACCAGATCCCCGGTCTCATCTCGGCCTTTCCCGGATCGAGTACAGATCCTCTGCTTTCAGTAGTACGGGCCCATACTACCTTCCACATCTATCCGTACTTTCCTCAAGTACTGCTTTGACTCCACCAGGTCCTTTTTCCACTAATACTGCTCCCAACACTACCTCATCCTAGGCTTACCCTAGGGAAACCTCTAACTCAAACCAACCAGTCCTCAGCCGCTGAAGGCCTCCTTATGATGCCAATTAGCCATCACCTGGATACCATCACATGTGACAAGGCTCAGATAATCCTTCGAGTAAAAGTCTCGTCCCTACAACGGTTGGAATCAAGCAAGATCTGCGCAATAGGGCCAAATCCAGCACTCTGAGAATATTCAAACCTGATCACATGTGACGAGACGTATCCACCTAATTGCTAGCTCCTATCACTCAGAGTCCCACAATGCACAAAGGAAGCAACATTCAGATAAGGGGAAATCTAACCATAACATACTCAAGCAATCATAATCTCGTAACAAGAATCTGTACTAGCATGCATCACAAACTCATAAACTCAGGCATAACCTAAACAGGCTATCCTACTACTATCTAACCAGCACTATCATGCAGCTCAAAAGCACATATAACAGGCACATAAGGCATCCTACCTAGATCGTTAGTCCTAATCTAGCATGTTGTTCTATTAACTGATAATCATAACATAACTTGTATGGGTATTTTGGGGTACTTACTTGAGCTCGGCTGATTGCATGCACCACACCCCTTTTCTCTTTTCAAAATTCTTTTCTTTCTGAATTGTTTTGACTTTTCTAAAACTGTTTCATTTCTAAAACGCTTTTTACAAGACTGTCTTTTCATTTTGAAAACTTTTTTATCCAATCTCTTAGTTTGAGTACGAACACACCCGAGAGTACGTCCGAATCCCTCAAACCAAGGCTCTGATACCAACTTGTAACGTCACAAAATTCAAGACTGAAAATTTCTTTCATAAAACATTACATAAAACATAATTATCAATACATAACATAATCAGAGTATTAATTTCAAAAACATATGTTCATTATCAGAGTAAAACATTCCCAGGCTGTCTAATCTATGGTGTATGCCATGCGATTACCCCGAGCTCTTTCCTTCGCTACCGGAAGAACCTAAAACCAAAACTGAAAACCGTAAGCATGAAGCTTAGTGAGTTCCCCAACCTACCATATACCATGCATAACCAGATACTGCACATACTGGGCCACACCCACTATTCTGGGCCTCGCCCGCTACAATGACCCCGCCGCTCCAGGTCCCGCCTGGCTTCGAGCCCGGCTCGGATACAGATCTGTTTCACTTAGGCCTCGCCTGTCACTGGGCCTCGCCCGCTAAACATATAATAGCACATAAACATATCACAACACATAAGCTAAACATATACTAATGGATCCTATCCTAAGGCCTCTCCTATCCTAGGCCTCGCCCTCGTCCGGCTACTGATGAGTCATGGAATCCCATCCAAGCTTCTACTGATAGTGAGATACAGGCCCAACCCACACTCATTCTTTCCCTAACTTGGGCCTCGCCCCTGTTCTGCTGCTAATGAGATGTGGAACACCATCCACACTCTGCTAGTGGTGAGATACGAGACCTCGCCCACACTCACCTCCTTACCAGGCACATACAAGTATCACACAGATAATAAGTATAAACTATCATATAAACCATTCATTGGGCACCCGCCCGCTATCACTAGACCTCGTCCTGAAAATCATACTAGCATACTGTGCCTAGGGCTAACCCAAGGGTCTTCTACTCATAACTACATGGGCCGACATTGTGGGCTTAGACCTATTCACACAAAGGGAAACTCACATGCACTTGCTGAACTTGCTGATAAACCCTCTAGCTACTGCCCGACAACTCTTTGAACTCCTGCTAGCTCCTCGAGCTACCAATACCAATGCAACACTTAGTCTACCTGTCCCCCGCAATTCAACTAAGTCAACTCTGGTCAAATTCAAAATCCTGGTCAAAGTCAACCTTCCAGGTCAACCCTACTCGCCGAGTCTGCCTACTGACTCGCCGAGTTCATATGCTCAGAGTCCTTCCATTCGCGACTCGGCTCGACGAGTCAACCCATGACTCGCTGAGTCCACCGATTTCCGAGTCGCAACCTATCTAACTCACTGAGTGTCCACCTGACTCACTGATTCGAGTCTTACCTCGAACGATTCGGGGTTTCGCGACCTGACTCGCCGAGTCCAAGGCAAACTTCAACAGACTCGCCGAGTTTTTCATCCAACTCGTTGAGTTCTTCCCAATCTTTATACTACTCGCCGAGTCCACTCGAAGGACTCGCCGAGTCTATTCAGTCCTTCATACATTCAGAGGCTTTTGAGTCATGCAGGGACTCCAAACTGTAGATCCACACTCTTAAAGCCCTTTCTCCACGTAAAGTTGCAACCTTTAGGTGTAGCTAAGGAGATCTAGGCTAAACACACCACAAACTAAGGTTTAAGACAACCACGCATCACCTACACTCTCAAGGATGATACTTTATGACTCTCTGGCCAAGACACAACTGGAGCTGAAGGGATTCAGCTTGGGGACGTCCAAACCCAATGTGTATCATACTTGGTCCAAAATCTCATAAAGAGGGACATGAAATGATCCAACAATTAACAAGGCAAGGAAGGAACTTGATTACCAAAATGAGCAGCTAAAGAGATGAATCTTCTGGATCCACAACCTTCCTCTTGAACCCTTAACCCTTTCTTCTCCTTCTAGGCTTCAAGAACACTCCTACTCTTCAACAATGGCTCACACAGTCAAAGAGAACACTAGGGTTTCGTGGAATAGCTTCTGGACAATGGGGGCTACAAATGAGACTGATAGAAGGAGAATGAGATGCTTAAATAGGGTACAAGTCCCGGAATTAGGGCTTTCTCAACCTAGACCAGACTCGCCGAGTTAGTCTCCCCGACTCGTCGAGTCAGTCACTTAATCCGCGACACAGATCACGCTCCGACTCGTCGAGTTCCTCCCTGGACTCAACGAGTTGACCCCTTTGACTTAGGGTTTTCTTTACTTACTTGGCCTTTCTGATCTTGGGTGTTACAATAACGTGGTATTTTAGTATATGCATTTCATTAACAGTTGGAGTGCATACAAGTTAACTTTATTAAAAATGTTAAAAACATGACACTTTGACCATTTAAATCTTACATAATAGTAGATTGATATAGAATTATATGAAATTATAAAAAAAACGATTTGATATTTTTCTAACCTTAATTTTGAAAATTTATGTGATGATCGATGTTGAATGAGTGATATGAAGCGGATTTTTTGTTGATTATCGATGATGTTGATCTAATGACGTTGGGAGTATAATTAATCGTAAATGTTGAAGATATGAGTGTATTCAACAAGAATTGAAGGTTGGATTAAAATCATCGATGATGTTGATCTAATGATCTAATGACACTGGATGACGTTGATGAGGGTTTAATTGAAGAAATCTGGATGATTTTTTAAGGTTGGAGGACAAATTGGATAATGAATGATCGATTAGGAGAGTGAAGGTTATTATCATATTTACAAGTTTACCACCGTGTCTTTTTATGCTTAGATTCAATGATTGGGTGAGAATGATTCCCTCATTCTCAACTTGTTTTTTCTCAATTGAACCCTCTTCTCTCTCTCACTCTCTCTCTCTCTCTCGCTCTCTCTCTCTCTCTCTCTCTCTCTATATATATATATATATATATATATATATATATATATATATATATGGGAAAAGGGAATATACATTACAGCCCCACCTAAGCTTAGGTACTAAACCTCTTGAAAATACATTGTTTTACTATATAAAGATTACGGTTAATGGATTCAAGATGTAAATTCAAGATCGACACAATAGGGTTTAGGGTTTAGGGTTTAGGGTTTAGATTTAGGGTTTAGGTTTAGGTTTAGGTTTAGGGTTTCAGGTTTAGATTTAGGGTTTAGTGTTTAGGGTTTAGGTTTAGATTTAGGGTTTAGGGTTTAGATTTAGGGTTTAGGGTTTAGGTTTAGGGTTTAGGGTTTAAATTTAGGGTTTAGGGTTTAGGGTTTAGGTTTAGGGTTTAGTAATGTTCACTTGGGTAAAGTAATTACCAATAATTGAGGAAAGAAAACAGGGATGGTAAAACGATAATGAAATAAAAAAATGTTGTGGAGGATGATATCTTTACCAAGTGAAACCAAACCGGGTATATCTAGCATGTTTAAATGACATATTTTAGAAGTTTAGTACCTAAGCTTAGGTGGGGCTGTAATGTATATTCCCCATATATATATATATATATATATATATATATATATATATATATATATATATATATATATATATATATATATATATATATATATATACACTACTAGAAACATGGGTTTTAGCGACGGAAAAATCCGTCGCTATTCCATCGCTAAATGTTGTTTGCAATGGATCGGCGACAGATTCACTCCATAGGTAATAAAAAGGTGGCTAATTTCTCAGCTAGGGTTTTAGCGACGGATCGGGTTTTTCCTTGCGACAAAGGTAGCGACAGAATATCTGTCGCTAAATGTCACTAAATGTCACTCAATGCATTCCGTCGCTGTTCTGTCGCAAATTTCCATGAACAGTTTTTTTTTCTTGCCGTAGCTAATCCCTTGCAAAATTCATATACTATTTTTTTTTCCGTTGCTGATCTATCGCAAACTTTAGACATGAATTTTTTTTCATCACTAATCCCTTGCAAAATTCATACATTAAATTTTTTTCCTTTCCGTCGCTGATCCGTCGTACACTTTAGACATGATTTTTTTTTTTCCGTAGCTAATCCTTCGCAAAATTCATGCATTAAAATACTTTTTATTTTCTCACCACGAACTTGTAATATTATTTTTTTATTATGATTCTAAAAGAAAAAAATACTACAATCATCAAATTATTATATTAAAGAACATCAAATAATGATACAACCAAGCATTACAATACCAAAACTATTAAAGTTTACCAAAGTGCATTCAAGAAACATCCAAAAACGAAACTATCCACATAACATCAAACTCACAACGGTTTAACTTCAAAATAACATTTTAGAACCAAGAAATCCAAAGTATGCAAAAGAGGTACAAACAGAAAAAAGTTTAACCTTCAAAATAACATTTTAGCTGCTATATTCGTTTCATGTCCATCAAATCATCATCGGTTCTCATTCCTATAAAACATTATTCAAAACAATCAAAAACATCAAATACAAAAAGGTTAACAAGTCATTCAAAAACATCAAATACTAATGGTTAACATCATATTACCTCTACTTTTCAATTTCCCATCATATTTTGCAAGGCTGCATACATCTTCTCCATTGCTTCATATTTTGCATCAATTTGTTGTTGTTTGGCATCTATTGCTGCAACTTTGGCATCCATTTCCTCACGCATTTGTTGATGTTTAGCTTCCATTTCTGCAGCTTTAGTATCCATTTCGCCACGCATCTCGTTTCGTACACGTTCATAGACAACCTAAAGTACAATACCATGATAGGAAACTTTGTAAGTATAATGCCATGATAGGAAACTTTGTAAGTACAATGCCATGATAGGAAACTTTGTAAGTATAATACCATGATAGAAAACTTTGTAAGTACAATGCCATGATAGGAAACTTTGCAAGTACAATGCCATGATAGGAAACTTTGTAAGTACAATGCTATGATAGGAAATTTTTATAAAGTACAAAATTAAACGAACCTCTTGGGATGTTATTGTACTAGATGTTCCTTCCAAAAAGCTCGCTGGATCAGACACAGATCCGAATCCATATATTCTTCCTTTCTTGACTCCTCCGGAAACATCACACCATGTTTCATTATCCAAGAGGGGATGGCAACTAGTATCATCGCCAAACTTAGCCACCATAGCACTTTCATAAGCCTCCTATTATAGCAAAAAACAATTAAAAAATAGTAACATGAATTAAGGAATAGAATGGTTCATTCCATCCCATTAAATTCATAACACTCAAACCTTGCATAAAGTTGATTACTACTTACAAAACACTTAATTACAACTAGGCAGAGGATCAAACATTTATAGATAATAATTTGTTTCTTTTCTTTTGTAAGTTGATTACTACTTACGAAAGATTTGTTTTCTGTCAATTAGTTGCTTTAACAAAGTCATTAACCCGAGTAGTAGGAAGTTTTGTTTCCTACAAAAGAATTGAAAATACCTTAACTTTAGCTGCCTTTGGTGTAATGTACTCTTAAGTAGACTGTTTAGTGTGCAACCTTGCATAAAGTTCAACTCCTGTAGGAGGGCGTTTAAGCATTGCTTGCTACAAAATCCATTAGTAATACATTAAAAAACAAAACAAAAACTCAACAATCTAAGTGGATACTAACGTGAGATGCAAACATCTTACCATTCTTTTCTTATGTTGACGAATAGATATAGAACCCCCGGTATGTTTGGAAATAGAGCCATCTTCTAATTTATTTCTGTTATTTTTCCCTGATTGTGATAAAAGTTTCATTTGCAGACTTAAATCACCTTCATTGATCATTTTTTTCCAATACTCCTTTTTTATCCAATTTGGGCGATAGTCCTTTAGCAAACTTAAATCACCTTCTAGTGAGGCATTCACATTTGCAGCTTTGGCAAGTTTTAAAGATGCTTCACGTGCTCTTCGCATTATGTCAGGAAATCGTTTCTTCATACAGTCTTCCCATACCTTGCGAGCAAGAACATTAGTCTCTTCGGGCCAAACATACAAACCCTACATGTACATCACGCATACAATTATCTTTTTCACTTTATACCAATTTTTACTTTGATAAATCATAAAAATAATAAGTACAAACCTTGAAGTGTTCCCACATTGCATCACGATGTTCTTTGTCAACCTTCTTCCATGAGGTCCATGGGCCGTCAAACATCGTCTTCAGTATACATGTGATGGCTCTGATCACTGAAATCTGATCCGTAAATCTTGCAAAAAATTAAAAATTAAAAAATTAGCATTAGTATTATCATTAACAAGTAAATTCATTTTCATAAACAATGGTAAAATTAACTTTAGTACTCCTTTTCAGAATCGACTTCAATGAACTTCCTTTTTGATGGGTTACTTGGAACTTGTTCTAAGATGTTTGATCCTCTAACTAAAGACGAAGGTTGACTTTCTGCATCATTGTATGATTGGGATGCATTTCTATCTCCAGCATCACGACCACTAATGTGACTACAACTGTGACCACCACCACGGGCTCCTCGTTGCGCCATTAGTCAAAAAATAACCCTTAAAATCAAGAATTAATAAACTATTGGTTAGAACAAGTATGTATTATAATAGAAAATTATAGAAGTAAGAGAAGGTAACATGCTATAATACACAAATAAATGAAAGTGCAATGTATATAGAAAAAGAAAACGATCATTTTAGCTAAAAAGTTATTTATAAGGTCCATTAGGCAAAATATATAGTTCCAAGTACATTGTTTCATTCTACATTTTTAGTAATTACTCATCATCAGAATTATCATCACATATGTTTTCATCTTCAATATCATCTTCGGATGAATCATCCAAGTTATCATCAACTTCTTCATCCTCTTCTCTCTCAATGTCATTGTCATTAACTTCTTCTATTTCTCCTTCAATTACATGAGAAAGGGGTCCTGCCACCTCATTTGCACCGCTACTTGTAGAAGGTAAAGTCGCTTCACTTTCTTGAAAGAATTGGTCCTCTTCATCCTCATCATCATCTTCTTCAGTAACACATTGTCGTAGATCATATACACCCCTTGGTTTCGTCTTGACGACATCCCACCAATCTTTCAAATCCTTCATTGCAGGATATGGTGCATAATACACTTGTTCTGCTTGTGACGCTAGGATAAACGGATCTTCATTTCTTAGCCTTGATTTGTATTTAATATCAACCAAATTATGCTTTCGATCCACACGTACCCCTTCAGTAGGGTTAAACCATGTACACTTGAACAATACTACGACACAACGCCCTATGCCTTGATATTCTACTTCCAAGACCTCATCCAACAACCCATAATAGTCACACTCAGTCTCATTGTAACAAGTACCTCTTACACATACACCACTATTGTGTGTGACCCGTCCATCACCATATTTTTCAGTATGAAACTTGTAACCATTGACAAAGTATCCTTTATAGGACCTAACATGTCGTAATGGTCCTCGTGCAAGGCATTTCAAATGTTGATTGATATAATTTGATTGTTGAAAAACCTACATTGATAAATTCATTTGTTAACTAATTCACAGGGGAAGACACTTTGGTAATACAAATTTTCTCGTATCATACTCACATGATCTTTAAACCACTTAGCAAAATGTTGATCCCTAAACCTTTCAAATGCTCCACCATCCATATCAGGTTGGCTTTGGATCACATAATTTTCAAACAACCTTAAAAAATAACAAAAATTTTAGAGTTTCACGAAATCAAGGAAAAATAGATAACTTGACATACCTTAAAAAAGGTAGAACCTCAACACAATTGATCAAGATGTAATTATGAGCAATACGCATCTCATCATCTGTCAAAGGCCTCCGTTGACCACTTTTTTCGAATAATCTTCGAGATGGAACTTTGAAAATGCTTAATCGAGAGTCGACCATGGTATAACTAGGAATGTCTGGGGCAAAATTACGCGACTCACGATTCAACCGGGTTTCAATTGTAGGCAAAAAGTATTGTGAGCAAAAAGTATTATTTCTCCAATCATGTAAGCCTCAACAATGGACCCCTCAACCTTTGCATGGTTTTTTATCTTTCTTTTCATTGATCCCAATTTCCTAAAAAGATGTTGGAAAAGACTTATTAGAAATTCCATAGGTTTTATGGTAGAATATTTTGTATGGTAAAAAATATACCTTTCATAAAGATACATCCACCTATATTGAACCGGACCACCAAGCATAGCTTCTCGAGCTAAGTGGATAACAAGATGCTCCATTGAATCAAAGAATCCAGGTGGAAATATTTTTTCCAACTTGCAAATGGTTTCAACAATACTAGTTTGCAACCGTTGTAAGTGATCTACACGTAACACCCTTGAACATATTACACGAAAGAATGTACACAACTCTGTAATTGCATCCCATGTTGAGTTTGGCACCATACCTCTTAGAGAAATAGGCAACAATCTTTGAAGAAATACATGGCACTCGTGACTCTTGAATTTGTAAAAGCTATTATCATCTACATTAACGCACCCCCCCAAGTTTGAGGCGTATCCGTCCGGGAATTTAAGTTTAATCAACCATTGGCATATTTTAGCTACTTGTTCTTTGCTCAGAAAACGATGCTCTATTTTTCATATCCTTATTTCCCTTCTTCCATGTATGCCATTGCACTCGATTACAATACATTTCTATATCTTTTCTTGCATTCATGTTGTCTTTGCTTTTCGGAGTGTCCATCACGGTGTTGAAAAGATTTTCAAACACATTTGTCTCAATGTGCATGGGATCAAGGTTGTGTCGTATTAACAACTTCCGCCAATATGGTAGCTCCCAAAGATGCTCCTCTTAACCCAATTATGAGTAATCGTAAAACCAGGCAATTTTGCATTCTTCTCTCTAAAAGGTTTGCCTTCATAAACAGTTGGAAAGTGTCGTACTTGCTCCCAAATCTGATCACCGGTTAATATTGGTGGGGGGCTAGATCGCTCAACCTTATTAGCCAGAAATCCTGTTTTGTCACCCCGATATGTGTGTTGTTCAGGTAAAAACTTTCGATGGCAGTCAAACCAACATGGTTTACTACCATGGTGTAACCGAAACGACCCCAACTCACCCATACAATACGGACATGCTAACTTGCCATGTGTGCTCCATCCCGATAACATTGCATAAGCAGGAAAGTCACTAACTGTCCAAAGAAGTATAGCTTTCATTGTGAAATTGCATTTAGTCGAAGCATCATAAGTGACAACACCGTCTGTATATAGCATCTTTAACTCGTCAATTAGCGGCCTGAGAAACACATCTATATTTTTACCTGGGCTCTTTTTTCAGGAATAACTATGCTTATTGAACATATGGTTCTTTTAAGCACATCCAAGGAGGCAAGTTATAAATTGAAAGGAAAACAGGCCAACATGAATATGGGGTCGTATTTGAGTTATTTGGACAGAACCCATCGGTGCATAGCCCAAGGCGAACATTCTGTGGTTCACTTGAAAATTCTTGATGCATTGAGTCGAAATGCTTCCAAGCCTCACCATCACTTGGATGGACCATCAAACCCGGTTCCGTTTGATGTTCATAGTGCCATGTCATTTGCTTTGCCGTCTTTTTTGTTAAATACAACCTTTGGAGTCTAGGAGCAATTGGCAAGTACCTCATAACCAAATAAGGCAGTTTGCCACTCTTGTACCGATCATGATCACACACTCGACACTTAGTCAAATCAAAATCTGCCCCATAGAATATCATGCAATGGTTTTTGCAAGCATGGATCTTTTTTTCTGGGAGTCTAATTCTTTTCAAAAGCTTCTTCGTCTCATAGAAGTTCTCAACTAGTTTCTCACCTTTGGGTAGCATCCGCTTAATTATAGGAAGTATGTGATCATAAGCAGCCTCAGATATATTGTATTCTGACTTCCAATGCAACAACTCTGTTGCAGCTTGTAATTTTGAATAATTTTCACATCCATCCCACAAAGGTTCATCAGCGTCTTCCAACATATCATAGAACCCCTTGGCATTTGGATTCGGGAGTTCCTCCGTTACATCCATCAACATTTGTGTACACCCATTAACATCATCATCATTTTCCATCGGATCCTGCATCGGATTAGAAGATTCTTCCTCATGCTGAGATATCGTATTTCTTTCACCATGTGCCCACCAAGTTGTGTAATTAGGAGTGAAACCGTTTTGTAACAAGTGAAGCTCTACATCACCTCTTGTTTTATAATACATGTTCTTGCATTTAAACAAGGACATCTAATATAATCCCCATCAACAGTTGCTTCATTAGAAAAAGCAACATCCAAAAATCCTTTGACGGATGCATGATATGCTGTGCTAAGATACCCATGATCTAACCTTTTGTACATCCAATCTCTATCACTACGTGTTGACATAATGACTAGCTATAAACAAATATATAACTATTATTTAGAAATTAGATAATGCAGTCATATCCACATTACTAAAAGCATCCTTGGAAACTACAATTATACTATATGAAATACTTATTTTTATTAAAAGCATCACCAAAAAGATAATTATGGAAAACTAGAACTATAGGGACCAAAAGTGTCTTGCTTATTTCCCTCTTTCAAAGTGTTGACATAATGACTAGCTACAAACAAATATATAACTATTATTTAGAAATTAGATAATGCAATCATATCCACATTACTAAAAGCATCCTTGGAAACTACAGTTATACTATATGAAATACTTATTTTTATTAAAAGCATCACCAAAAAGATAATTATGGAAAACTAGAACTATAGGGACCAAAAGTGTCTTGCTTATTTCTAAGCTTATGTATAGATTTGATACAAATTGAAAACATGGTTTTGACAGTGAATTACTTTTTTCTGTTTATTTTAAAGGTTGAAGGGATCATATGCTAGTTGTCTCTTCCATTTGATTATTAATATCTTTAATCTATTACCCACATGATCATGTATGAAATCGTTGAATGAGTTCAGTAAGAAATGAGTTAAGAAGAAGATGAAAAATCCATTATTTATGATATGTGATAAGGGACCTGAGAAATCTAAGGGACCTGAGAAAGCTATTGATTTTGGCATGTCTATCTTCTTCAAGCCAGGTGACTATATCTCTCCTTCCAGAATTACCATAAATTAAGGATTACAGCTTCTAGTCAGGAAATTAGTAGACAATTAAGGTTCCTAATCATTGTATCTATTGGATACACACAATCTACTGTCTTATTCTACTTAGCTGCCTTATCTTAAGACAAATTCAATTCAATGATCTATATTAGAAAACATTACTTAACATGAAGATTGAGTATAGTTGGAATAGTTAGAAATCTTTAATGAACTTTCTAATAAACAAGATGTTAAATATACATGTGAGAAGTTCTCTGAAATAGTTGGAAGCCCATATTACATGGCTCCAGAGGTCCTCCTATTATGTTCATATGGAATACTACATAGTATGCTGCTAATTATTGCTAGGATCATCTTTGCTTTTGTTTTTTTGTTTGCGGTTTCAGTACCATAAGCTCCTCCTACATTATTATGAAATGGGAG